AAATCTGCATAATAAATAATAAAGGAACTGAGGAAAAGACCTCACTTAAAAAAAAAAAAAAAAAAAAAAAAAAAAATCTTACGACAAAGCTACGCGTATAAATTTAAATCAGCAGCGAAGCAGTGTCGTAACTTTAATCTGATGTACATACATACGACATATCGATATAATAATAAGCTAACGGCTAATAACTATTTAAAGTTTTGGCATGTCAACGCAGGTATCATAAAAATTTTGATCACATTACGCCTTGTATTAATTGATCACTTTCTATGAATATAATAATCAACGTTTCACATTTCATATATTACGTGTATTACTGCCGGGTATTGGAATATGTGATAAATCTATATTATGTGTATTAGTCAAAGGTGTTGGTGATAAATGTATATTAGTCACACTGCCGGGTGGTGGAATATGTGATAAACGCAAATGTGTATTAGGTAAACTGCCGGTTGTTGGAATATGATGTGGTATATTACGTGAATCAGTCCAGCCGGGTGTTGGAACATATGATGATGATTCTTGGCGTCGCATTTTACGTTTATATAATAAAACTCCGACCAAACCAATCAATACAATTACACCTGCTCCAATACCAATTCCAATAAATAGTCCATTTTTAGGTGAATAATCTATATCTGATATAATAAAAAGAAAAAAAAAATAATTAGTTCCGAACAAAGCGAAGGATAATAAAAATGTTTATCGACAAATCAATCGTGCATAATATCATATTATTCACTCAAGATGTTGCTGAAATCAATTTTACGAGTTTCATCAATAGCGATGGCAGTGAAATTATTTCACTACTCTGAATTCTTTTCACCAACATCTTTACCATTTACACGATTAAAGATTACTGTATTTTTTTAAATTTTAAACGATATTTCTCATTATTGTTCATGTGATATGATCATGTAAAATTTTTTTTGCCTTGATATTTTTGTCATAAAATGACATCATCATTTATGCAAAATGTCACGACAAAAAACTTCACATGCTAATATAATATGACCAATAACATCAATATTGAACATACGAAAATAACAGGAAATTTTTTTCATCAGAGTTAATGTCACTCATGTGCTGCATGGAAGTGACATTAATTCCGATGAAAAAAAATTCACTGTTATTTTTCATCGTACGCCCAATATCTTATACATAACTACCAGAAAAGAAAAAAATTTTTTATTTTAATTATATAAACTTATATAATTAAAATGGAATAAAAATTTTTACACTTATTCAGATCAAATTTCAAAAAAAAATTTTTTAGAAAAAAATTGTTGATTTGACTAGCACATATATTGTTTATGTAGCTGGTAGTAAAAATCGAGAATTTGCAGCTAGATTCAATCAATACCCTGGCACATTTCCCCTACAAGCTATTTACCCAACATCACATAGGGTTTAAATAAATTATCACCTGCGTGAAGTCGGGAAAAATGGTCTGTAGAGGAAATGACCGTCGGGAAATTGAGATATGAGATGTAACCCTGGCAGACTGCCAGTTTGCACAGAAATACCTGAAAAAATAGATTTCAAAGAAGAAGAATGAAGCCTAACTCTAATACAACAATTAATTTTTTTTTAGAGAAATAGTCAGATGTGCAGATTTCAGAACCCATAGATACTATTAATTCATGATAGTTAGCTTTGTTATTAGCTACAACAAATAAAAATTCTTGGCAAAATATGGAAAATAAGGAAAAATATATGCCTATATATTAAACTTACACGATTAAATGATTTTTCAAAATTGTAATTTAAGGTAATACCTTACTTAAATAAACTTAAATCTTTCATCTTAGAAAAATTATTAGGAATTAAATTTTTTTAATTAATATGAATGCCATAAATTTATTCTTACTTATTTTAGTTCTTGCTTTACTAGTTCAAGCTGGTTCAGACTTTAGCACTTGTTTGTCTAGTAGTATATATAACACACTATCGTCGTATGTTGCTAATATACAAAGCTTTTGCTGTTCTAGTATACGTACAGTGCGGTACTAAATTACCAAACTGTCCTTTTTTTGAAACTCTTGATGGTCAATGTATTAAAGTTGAACAATCGAAAGTTTGTGTTGTCAAGGGTATTTATAATACGCTTCCAGGTGGTCTTCCAGGTGATGAATGTGGTGGAATCGTAGGAGCAACATCACCGGCTAATACTACTGTGGGTACTTGTCCTAGTTATGACGCAATAGGAAATGCTTTGGTTGGGTCAACAACTGCTCCTACTTTTAGTTGGTTATGTTGTGATAGCGGTTCATGCACTGTACCAGTTAACGTGGTGGTAAGTATTTCATTGTTGCTGTTTTCAAAACCATAGAATTTAATTAATTTTGTAACTCATATATTTCGAAATAACAATATTATTAATTTTATTTCTGTTTTAAATAAATCATTAGGTTAATCGCAATCAAGCAAATACAAATTGTGCAAGCTCTCAGTACAGTCTAATGTGCTGACACGCATGAATTATGTTAGTTAACCTAGCTGACTACTCTCATTACTAACCTAAAAAATTTCGTCGCCACAGTATATTAGAGTTAGGCTTCACTATTATTATGTTAGAAAAAGCAAATTTTCATGAGAAAAACTTTATTAGCGCGCATAAAACAGTTTTATAAATGAATTTTAGGTTACCATCAATTTTTCGGGTTGTTTTGATTTTTGCAATTCTTTGGCGTTATCTAATCTTGAAATTTGAACTTTTTTGAGCGGTAATTAAAAATGCTGGTAAATAAAACTAGAATCACACACTATTAATGTGAAATTGGAATTAATTTCACCAGCATCTCTAGTAAATACTTGCGTTACAATACCTAATAAATTCTTGTGATATACAGTACAAGAGAGTACTATGGAAATTGTCTCAATATACGAGTATATTTGAATGTATCATATATTTAACTCACAACGCTATAAAGTTGTTCCTCCATGTATAATCAAGTCTTGACTTATAATTCCTAACTAGTGTCATCACTCCTCCCTTTAAAGCCGTTAAAGTTATAATAAAAATCCTACGCGTTTATGGCATTCTTCCCTTGTCTACTCCTGTTATGTTTGTCACGCCTTCTTACCCAGCAAGTCCATTTCAGTATAAATATCATCGGCGCAATTTTACTAATATACGTATTGAGAAATTTTCCGGTGTTACTTTTGTAACCTAGTTTCGCCACATTTCTTCTTCCTTATTTGGCTGGAATATGGTATTTCCTTGTACCGGCACACCCTCTGTATTACTTAATGTGTACCCTACTTCATTTTACGTATTCCATATAAGTGCTCGGACTTCAATTATATTTTGTGTACAGATAGTCGTCTATGGATCATATGATAGATTTTCCATAGACGGCTAACTGTACAAAAATATAAATGAAAAAGCCGAACGACCTTTTTCCCTTGGCTGCGCTCATATATAGTTATTCATACATAGCCCAGTCATTCTATGATATAGGAAAGGCAACGCGTGACATTAATATGACGCGTAAGTATTATGGTCTGTAAACGATCAGTCTAGTTAAGGAATCATCTAATTAAGGATAAATGGTATCATTAAAAGAGACGTTGGTGATATAATGTTTTAAAGACTTATGGATGATATCCCGATGAATGTGTTGGGGGAATTCTAAGTAGTTGATAAGTACTGTATAGAAGCCCATCGTATTCGCCTTGGTTGTATCTTACTAGTGCACATATAAATTTAGTGGTGCACCACACAGGTCGAAAAAAAGTAGATCAGAAAAATATCAGGTTCCGATTTTTGTTTATTTTTGGCGTCCATCGTGACAACAACAGAGACATATCAGGTGTTGATAGAACTATCGGAAAGCTATCAGATCTAATGTGTTTAATAGCTTACTGATAGCTTTATCAGCACCTGATATTGTCTGTTGTTGTTACGATGGGCGCCAAAATCAACAAAAGTCGGAACCTATATTTCTATGATATTTTTTCTGATATATTTTTTTTTCGACCTGTGCCATTCATATTACCTAATAGTGCAGGGTCATATAATGATAACGATAATCATTAATCAATTTTTTATAATTGTAAAAACAAAATTTAGATTGCAATAACTCTTGAACAAGCAAACCCACAAATAAAATTAGTTACTCTTTAAAGTAACAACGCCTTCTTTTTTATTTTTATTGTTTGAAGCATAACGGAGAACTCAATTTTCATGCAAAATGGACTTTTTGATGTTTTTTAAACAAAAACATCTAAAACCTAACTTTAAAAGTAGTGGAGTGGAGTGAGTTGGGCTAAAGCAAGCCTTACTCCAACCCAACTCGGGTTATGCTTCAAATTAATACTCCATGTTATATTCCAGGTTGTACTCATGGTTAGTGCACCAGGTTAGTGCTCTAGGTTAACGCACCAGTAGTGCACCGGGTTAGTTTTAATGACGATGATATTGCAAAAGCAAAATGGAGTACAAATTTTTTTTTACTGATACTCAATTTTATTGGTAGATGGTAAAGTAAACATTCAACCTGTAAAAACAAATTAGCTAAGATATTGGTACGTATATCAGAATGTTATGATTGAAGTATCGACTAGCCAGTCAAATTGAACTGTTATGAGCAATTAAGTTATATTTCTATATATAGAGCAACCCGGGTTATAAGAACAATTTTGTTCCGGAGAACTCCATACATAAAGCAACCCGGGTTTTGCTCCAGATCACTCTGTATATGAAGCAATCCAGATTTTACTCCATATCTGGAGCAACCCGGGTTATTACAGTATTATATAATTCTTAATATCATAACCCACTCTAACTTCAAATTAGAGCATAATCCGTTTGCTCTGGAGTATGTTAATCCATTAACTACCCTAACTTTAGATAGCCAATAAATAGAGAATTAGAAGATGTAATATCACACCAATATTCAGTAGTGGTTTAATGATTAACTCTAATTGCAAGTTATAAATAACTCTATTACATAAAATAAAAGGTGAATATTAAATTAACATTATTTTGTATATCATCGTGATAAATATATTTGCCACTTTTTATTCTATACTTGACATTAACAAATAAAAAAAAAAAATACATAAAAAATTGATATGCTACTACTTTATATACTGTATAAAACTTTAAATATAGTGTAAATTTGTATTAATTCTATATAGTAAGAAATGAAAATTGATACGTATTAACGGCAATAATGATTATATGTAATATCTTATATTTTTGCTCGTGTTATTGTATTGAATAAAATATAATAGTTGCAAACATTAGAATATATATTATTCTTAAGGATCCTAATGAGTTGATGTTAGCAGAAACACCAAGCGAAGGTGTATTAGATTTACCAGTTGGCGTAGAACTAACAGATTTACCAGTTTGCGCAGAATTACTTGAATTATCAGTTTGTGCAGAAATACTTGGACTACCAGTTTGTGCAAAAATACTTGGACTACCTGTTTGCGCAGAAGTACTTGACAGGGATGGTAAATGACCTGAAATGACCCAAATGACCCAAATGACAAATGACCAGTCATTGGGTCATTTCAAATTCAAATCACCCAGATTTTACTAATTTACCCCCCAACGTCTGATTGGATGATGATCTTCACATCGCTGATTGGCCAAAATCGATCACGATCTCATTAATAAATTCGAAGGTTTTCTAAAACTTCTAGCGATCATCTCTCAATAACTACTTGAATAAATTCGGTAAAATTTTTTATCTCAATCTTATAGTTCTGTATAATTAAAAAAAAAAAAGCGTTCATTGAGTTTAGTTCAATGATTATCGAGAAATCCTCACTGAAAGTTAAAAAAAACTTTAAAAAAACTGATAAAATTTTCCTTATTCGAACTTTAAACAAAGATTTCTCGACAACCAACCATCAAAATTCGATGAAAATTTTTTTATTTTAATTTTATGAGATCATAGAATTAAAATAAAAAAAATGATCGAAGTTGGATATCAGGTTGTCGAAAAAATATTCATTAAAATTTTAAAAAAAATTGGCCGCAGTTTTTTTTTATAGAGGCCTAAACTTTGAACAAAGATTACTCAGTACTTACCTGATCAAATTCGATCAATTTTTTTTATTTTAATTCTACGGGCTTATAGAATTAAAATAAAAAAATATTGATCGAATTTGACTAGGTAAGTGCTGAGTAATCTTTGTTCAAAGTTTAGGCGTCTATAAAAAAAAACTGCGGCCAAATTTTTTTTAAAATTTTAATGAATATTTTTCAACAACCTAATATCCAACTTCGATCAATTTTTTTTTTATTTTATTTCTATGATCTCATAAAATTAAAATAAAAAAAATTTCATCGAATTCTGATGGTTGGTTGTCGAGAAATCTTTGTTTAAAGTTCGAAGAAGGAAAATTTTATCTGACTTTAGTTTAAGTTTTTTTTTTTTTAACTTTCAGCAAGGATTTCTCGATAACCATTGAAATTTGTTGAAATCCATTGCTTATCATGTTTTATATGTGGTAATGTAAGTAATGCTTGAGAGACCTTTTATCAATGAGAGTTTGTATCTTGTCTAAATCTGACATTTTTCTTATCAACTGTCCTCACATTAATTATAATTAATAATATTTAAATTTCTTAAATAGCAGCAGTAGAAAGTAGCACAGTTTTGATTCAACTAGATAATTCACACTATACTATACTTCTTTTACTTATTATTATATATTTTTTTCGCTTATACTGTACTATTTTATCTAACTTATCATACTGTTTTGCATTTGTGACAATTGTTATTGAAAAATAATATTAATAAGATAAAATAAAAATAATCAATTTCGCAGATAACCCTCATTACACTACAGATTTAAATAAAATATTTAAAATTGAATTTGTAGTCAATAATTATTGGTTGACCAAAGTTGACTAGTAAACCTCTTTGAGTAACAACTAGTTTTACAGTATAATTAAAAGTTCTGATTTCAAATATTACACTCAATATCGCAGCATTATTCATAGTTCTAATAATTATCTTACGCTAGCAAATATTAATTAATTAGTTTGACTTTAGTTAGTTTATATTGGTATCGCTAAGCACATAAATAGCATATACATATGTATAAAAATTAAAATTTATTTTGTTTTTTGAACTTCGCATTCAGCGCAATTTGAGGAATTCTTTGCTTATTAACTTGTGGCACAACCTCAATTCTAGTGATTCTTGCTCTTTCATTTTGAGTGGCTTGCAAAAAAGCTTCTCATAGACTCCAAATGTCCTGTGCTTCTCTTTTGCTCCATTCTATAACAATTGAGGCAAAATCTTCCTGTAATTTTGCGATTTCGATATTTTTATCATAGATTTTAGCATTTACTATTAAAAAAAATAAAATAAAATTCTGATAATTATTACGCCTTTATTTAAGTATTAAAAAAAAAAAAAAAAATTAAGCTAGATTTGCTGACCGCATTTATTGTCTTCTATATTATTATCATAAACACGGAGTTGTGCTAATATAGCGAAGATATATTTACAGGCTAGTTGACGTTTCTTGAAATCCAAACATGTACAAATATATAATATAATATCCAAATTATTGTCACTATTTTCAATAGAATTTTTTTTACAGACAGAGTACTTAATTTCATCATTTGTTATAGAACGAACCAACCAAGTGTCTGATTGAATTTGGTAAATATTGTTCTTATTTATATGATGGTCCCAGCAATTTGTCAAATACGTTGTTGATATTGTCAAGGGTTCATTTGACTAATTCTTAACTCATTTAAGAGAACTGAAAAATCCATGTCCCAAAGAACAACTTTCACAAGCAAATAAACCTTACCATCTAGTCGACGCCCTGGATACTCTCTCATATATGTGTACTTCAACTTGTGATGAAAAGCTTTGACCAAATTATTAGTATCTATCATATTACGTGAAAATCCTCTAAAGCATATCATCCACATTTCATATTTGGGTTTCCACTACTGTTCAAAGTATTTTGCAAATTGTTCTATTGTTTCATCACTCATCCCTCGCCACTTATTAATTGCTATTATAATTTGATGCATCATTCCAACCCTCCGTTCTCATTAGTCTCCACAAATCTTGCCAAATGATTGCCTTATTTAGATTAACATCTGCACCATGCTTATAGCCCAACCTTCTACACCAAGAACGAAGCACATGAAAATGACATAAAAATATGGAACTATCTGAAAAACTTTCCTTGATTGCCTTTATTTCCTCTTTGGTATCATCGATTATGAATATATCTGGACTTAAGCTTTTATTTTCATTTTTTAAAAACTCTAACCACCTCTTCAATGTTGATGATCTTTTAAACTCGCTTATTAAGAATACAATAGGATACCTACTTCCTGTTATTGGGTGGTGTATAATTATAGTGAAAAGGTGAAACTGATGGTGATTCATCCTGTGAGTCCCATCTAGGCACAGAACTTTTGTGGCTTTCATTAACTCTTTCTGTTCCTTAGTCTGGAATGTGAAGAGAAACCCAATATTATTTGTATTAATACAATATTCAAATAGGCAATTTCCACCTATAAAAATACAAATACAAATAAAATAAATAAAATAAAATAAAATAAAATAAATTAAAATAAAATAAAATAGTAATAACTATATAATAACTTATAATTGGTTTAATCAAAAAAAAAATAAAATAAAATGATAATAACTATATAATAATTTA